CCCCAAAACCCCAAAACCCCAAAACCCCGCAGTTTAAAATTAGCCATAAATTATTGATATAATAAATAAATATAATAAATTAATGGAAGGATTGCAATAGGCATAGATTCCAGATAGAGAGACTGCCCCCTTTGTATTTGACATCAGCGCTAGAGTCTTGCAAGGTGCAGCTCTTGGCCTTGTAGTAGGATTATTCTACTTTAAGAAATCTTCATCAAGACGATTTTTAATGTATTACGGAGCAGGATTTGGACTTGGAATGAGCTACACTTAAATAAATTACCTTCAATAAAAACTCAGAGGAATTGAGCAAAATAAGTAAGCATTTAATATTCTAAGCATATTCAACTAAATTAATACTGATTAATATAGTGATGAGTTGTTCAATCATGAATTAGACGACTTAAGAAGAGAACTTGAACTCAGAAATAAGATTTAATTATGAGTTTAGCATTCAACTGCATTAGAATATAAGGATTATTTAAATTTTATTAATTCAGTGTGATTAAATTAACTCATATTAACTTTGATGATGTCATAATGTTGATTTGTGTTTCATTGATTGTTTTAGCATCAATTTCTTGGGTAAACGCAAGTTTCATCATGCTGGGTCTTTAGTAAGTTTCCAAACGTGTAGTTAGGGAGCTCTCTTTCGATTACATTTTTAAGTTGCTCGATCTTTGAATCAGGGAGAGTTTAGTTTTTAGATAGAATCCAGAAGAATTCAGTTTTGAAGAAGTAATAATCAGAGCAAGATGACACTAAAGAGTAGGTCTCGTAATCAGTCTCGACAACTTAGTAGCTGCCAGTTGCCAGGAAGTTGAACTTAACTGTGCAGTCGCCTTCTCCATTCTAGCAGTAGGCATAGCCTTAAGCGATATTTTAATCTCCATCATCTATATCTACTCCAATATTCTTCACTGAAAGTGTTCCATCGTCATTTAATCCATAAGTAGCAGTCACACATTTCATGTTAGTTTCAAAAGGTGTTTCGGAGTCTCTATAGATTTCATACCACAAGCCAGCATATCTTGTAGTATCAAAGTTTTATTCCAAATGGGGTGTGCTGCATCTACCTCTTGAAAACCTTGCACTGACAGTTGATAAGCATGCAAGGGTCAGAGTTGCCAAAATTACTTGATAATTAATCATTCTTTCCTATAAATTATTAAATCAAAATAATTTTCAACCTTTAGGAGTTAGAGAATGTTTATTATATGAAATATTTCTATAAATTCTTGAAGTTAAATAATAATAAACAATGGAAGAATAAACGTCGTATAATCAGATGCTTTACTAGACATCATATGACACCAAGCAAACACTGGTTATGCCCAAATATTTATCAGACCGAGGTAATCTCGATCCGAATACTTAACGAGCTCTTCTTAAAAAATAAAGGCCATAAAAGATCGGGTTAAATGGAAGAAAAAGATTTTCAAGAAGTTATACATTTTAAACTTCTTCATCGAGTAGTGGGGGCAGTGGAGGTGCTTCAAATGGAGACTCAATCACCATTATTGAGCCTAATAAGCTTAGCAGCAACATTTTATATTAAATAGTTGATTCCGATTAAAAATTTATCCAAAAACAAAGAAAAAGAAATAGCTTGGATTTTAGACAATAATATCCTAATCAATCGACGACAATGATTATAGATATAAGCTTTAATCAGCAACAAGAAAATATAGATTTGTCAAATATTTTCAAAGACTACAAGAAACCTATTGGGATAAGATCAGACAAAAACTTAATAATTGAAAAAAAGATGTTTCAGGAGACTAGAAGTGATTTCATCGAATAATCAAGGAGATCAATAATTTGTTCAGAACTAAATGAAAAATAACTAATTAGAACCTAATCACTTAAATCTAGTTCCAATTCTAAGAGGTTTAAAAATGGACTTAGTTCCCCAAAGGCTGAGACAAGGACATCATCTAATATAGTATTAATAAGTTCATGCTTGCAAAATATTTAAGTACTGGAGAAGTAGGACCCATGCTTTCAATCGCATTACAAGCATTATTTCTAAGGTGGAGATACCACGCCTAAATTAGCCTTGCATAAAAAAACTAACAGTTTTAACAATTCTTAAAAATCAAGTCATAGAAGTCTTTCTTTTTCTTAGCAGGAGATAGGATCACCAATTAATAGTCAACATTTGCATTAGTCTGAGATAGACAAAGAATCTGCAATCTCATAATATGATAACATGTCTTCGACAATTAAAAAAGAGGAAGTAGATTTGAAGGTGCTTTGCAATTTAATGGCGAATTGCTTCGTAAATGTCTTTACTCTCAATAAAAGAAGGTATTATTTTCGTTTAACCCAATTTATAGTATAAGATAAAATGTGAAAGGAGGATATGATAATCATTATCAGCAAATAACATATAGTTCTAGCAAGTATGATGTACTTTAGAGTTAAGCTAAACTATCTTCTTCAAAAAGCAAAGATTAAAGCCTTAACTCTAGCCAGAGTATTAATATTAATAATAAATCATTTTAATGATTCCCTACGTGTAATTATAAATAAAATGATCAATGAATTTTTCACTACAATTTATTTCATTTAAACTCCAACTCTGGGGTTTTGGGGTTTTGGGGTTTTGGGG